TGTGTGTGTGTGTGTGTGTGTGTGTGTGTGTGAGAGAGAGAGAGAGAGAGAGAGAGAGAGAGAGAGAGAGAGAGAGAGAGAGAGAGAGAGACTTTGCCAGTGTCCACGGAGTGATTCTGACATGTTCTGTGCGGTTTCATCTCTGTATTTTGCCTTTCAGAATATACTGGAAGGCAAAATACAGAGATGAAACCTGCTCAGGATGACGGCTCACATGAGAACACTACTTCTGGGAGCTCCCCTGCCTGGGCGAACAGCAAGTGCCAAGCAGACTGGATTCTGATTACTTCATTCATTTATTTTATATTTTATATTTTTTTAATTCATTCATTTATTAGAAGACCTGCTTACCAAAAAAACAGTGGCACTGTTATAATTGAAGGGTACTTCCAACACCTGCCCCCCCCCGATTGGCCATTTTGCAATCACACCGTGGCAATTCTTAATCACCCCATCTCGGCCCACCGAACTGATTCTCTCCCACCCACACACACGTGCAGCTCCGTATGCACTCAGCCAAGGAGTCAATTATCTGCACGTAAGCATCTGGATCTGGTCTGGGTTCCATGCGAGGTTGGTCGATCACAAACACATAACACATTCAGCAAACACAGCAATCAGACTCAGGATTGGAATCTTCATGGAGCAAACAGATTAACGGGGCACCGTTCTTCCGGGAAAAGTGCAGACGTATCGGGCTGCAAATGTGTATGTTATTCATTTCACACACAACCGAAAACAAGAATCGATTATTTGCATCCTTCCTGACATCTGTAAAAATTGGAACCATACAGAGAAGGGTAGATTAGCAAATGCCCCTGCGCAAGGATGACACGCATAAATCGACAAATGGTCCAATTTTTTTCAAAAAAAGAAAGGAAAAAAGAATTGATTATTTGCAGAGAAAACGCTGGCTGTAAAAGAAAGAAAAAAAAGGGTTTGGCGAGAATCAGCGGTGTAACAGATCATCTAGCAAAAATTGAATCAGTCTGACAGAACGACAAAACCCCTTTGAAATACTACCGTCTTCCCCCGAACATAACACACCCTAAAAATGAACGTATACAAGCTATATGTGCGGCCAGATACAGCCAAAATAAGGGCGCGTTGTGTTCGGGGGAAGACAGTAGACAGGATGGTCAGTGGGATGATGATATCTCAAGGGTGCTGCCTTTCATAAAACTGGGGGGGATAAAAGGGGAAAGATGGATTTTTGCTGAAATATAAGTCGGAATTGTTAAAAAAAACAAGAAAGAAAAAAAAAAGGGGAAAGAGCAGCTGCGCATTGGAGCCCTGAGCGCTAGACTCAGGGGCACACTCATCTGAGCACTTTCCTGGATGCATCTGACCTCTGTTACAGCCCGAGGTTCCACAGGTGAGTTGAAAAGGTCCAATGAGGACTTTCCTGGACGCATCTGGCCTTTTTGTATGGCCCGACCTGGATGCACCTAACCGGAATTAAGACCACATGCAAGTTGAAGAAAAGTCCCGGTGTGAGTATGGGCCTTTCTGCACCTCTCACCAAATGTGCAAAATGCGAATGAATCTTTCGCTAGAAGCTGGGAAGATGCACTGCCATAACGTTTTTCCTCTGTGCTTTTTGTGAATCGTGTGGGCGGGAGGCCCTATGCCCAGGGAAAACAAATGGGCACACTGAGCCACTAGATATCCAGCGTGCCCTGTTTCTCTTGGTGAGTAGTAATCACTTCTGTTTTTCTCTGTGAGGCCCTCTATGCTGCTCTGCTCTCTACTCTACTCTCTACTCTCTACTCTCTCCTCTACTGTTTTGCTTTTCTTGGCCCGGCCGGGCAAGTGGTCCCGGGCCAATCTGGTAGCCTCGATGTGGAGGTGATATCGTTGACACTGGGTGATCTCCTAGATGTGGAGGTGATATCGTTGACACTGGGTGATCTGTGGGTCAAATATTTGGAAGAAGTTGGGGGCGTGGGACAATGTTTCAGAGACGGGGCTCTTAACGTGAACGTTTCAAATGTTTTTGCAGCTCTGCAATCAGGCAAAAAAACTGTCTGTGTGAGAGAGAGTAGTGTGTGTGTGTGTGTGTGTGTGTGTATGTGTATGTGTTTGCGCTGTCATGTTCCCTATACGCAACACAACTCCACAAAGAAAAGCATGACTGTGCCAGTTTCTCTGTGTGTGTGTGTGTGTGTGTGTGTGTGTGTGTGTG